TCTATCTTCATAACCATCTTCAACATTTTGTGATAGTAATTTCATTTGCTAAAACTGCGATCCTTATTGTGATACTTGCTCTAATTCTAGTAATAATTGCTAAAGCTGTAAAGCTAATAGCTATTAATATTAAAATAATTGCTTAGCGAAGATCTGTTTATCAAATTAGTATTTGAATCCATATACAAATAATTGTGATTAATCATAACCTCCTAGTACTTCATGCTCTTAAATAACTTTGAATGGTTCTACATTTTATTATTGCTAGAAATGTGATCCAAGTTGTAAAGAATGCAGTGCACCTGGAAATTTAAACTCTTGCACAACATGCGACATTAATTCTACAAATAAATATTTTTATAATAATCAGTGCTAACCTTCATAACCTCCTTAGACATATTGTGATGGTAATTTTATTTGTCATTAATGCGATGTTAATTGTTCTACATGCTCTGGTTAAAGTAGTAATTGCTAAAGCTGCGTAACAGGTAAATACTACTATTAAGGTAAATGCTTGTCTTCTAAACCCCCTTTGGCTTATTGTATGAAGTACTGAATATACTAAATTTTCTGCAAAAATATAGCTTTTAAATTAAAAGCTTTGAAAAGAATTAAAATATAAAATGTAGTATGAAAAGATTGAAAATAAGAAAAACAAATCATAGCTGCAACATTAGCTGTATATTAGATTAATTTATATCTAAGAAGTAAATAAAAGTATTAAAATTTCGATTAATAGTTATTTTATATAAAAATATCATTTGTAATAAATTTTATTTTATCAATAAATCTATTTTTATAAAAAATTTTTTTTATAAATTTTAGAATAATAAGAGATATTTTAAATATTCCCTCCCCTCATGGACTAAAACGAAAAAATCTATTAAATAAAAATTATTTTATTAAAATTAAACACTTTAATTACTAAAATTTAGTTAACATATGAACAAACATCTATAAGTATTACTATATTTTTAAAGATAAGTATTAAAAAGTAATATTAAGATTTAATAATAAATGTTATACTAAATTATTTTTGATATCTCTTACTAAATGCAAATTAAAAAATTCATATTTGATAATTATAATAATTTATTTGTCTGTTTTAACAAATAATTTGAAATAAAAGTAAATTAGTTTTTTAAATAGTTATAATTTATTAAATTACCTTAAAAAACTATTCGATATTTAAAAATAATAAATCATATAATAGAAAAAATATTTAACAATCTAAGAGAATTAATTATTAGTTTTTATTAATATTTTTTAAATTTATATTTATTAATAAAAAGTTTTTAAATTCTACACTTAAATCTAATTAGGTTTTCTATATTGAGCTGAAAGTTGGGGGGAAATTTAATTTATTTATTTTTTTCATGCTAATATTTTTTAATATTTAATTTTCAAGTTATTAAATATATTATTTTTCTAATAGAAATTCTCATATATATTTATTTATTCATTTTTATGAACACAAAAATATTCATTTAATAATATTTACTTATTTTCAATCCATTTTTATGTTGATTTTTAATTGTTGATTTTTATTGTTTGATATATTTTCTTCATTTTTTTATTCTAACTCACAAACTTCTTCAATATTTAAAAATGACAAATCAATTGGATTAGTTTTTAATTTATTTTTTCTGATTATGAATTTTTTCTTTATTTGTTAATTTATTTTTAATTTTTAATTTTTTTATTTTGTTTATTTTCATTTTTTATTATTATTCATTAATTTATTTTCTTATTTTTTCTTCATTTTTTACTTCTAACTAACAAATTATCTATGGATTGTGATATTTTTTTAAATAAAAATGAATTTAAAATAAAATAACTTACTATTTTTATTTTACATATTTTGTAAAGTAATAATAGAAATTTGCTTCATATTATAAAATATGTAAAATGGCTTTTGGTATTAATAATCCATTTTTGATTAAGTTAATAAATTTTAAATTGGAGACAGTAATTAACTTTGTAAAAGCAAAAATTGTTTGGGAGAGGATAAATAAATAAATAAATAATATTATTTATTTTTGAAATTAATCATCAATAGTAAGTTCTTTTATGTGCAATTCTCTTCATAAAAAAATTTGATTATTCTATACCCAAATTTATGTATTTATGAATATAAATAATACAAATAATTTCTACATATGCAAAAAAAAAAAAATTTGTCTTTTAGCTAATTTATTATTAATTAGAGGAAAAACAAGTATAAATTAATTAATATCATCTATTTTAATTAAAATCAATTTTTAAAATTTTGTTAAGCTAAAAGTTTACCACAAGTTAATAAAAAACTCTGTTATAGACATTATTAAGTACTTTATAATTAGAACCACCGTACTTTTATCATTCTAAATTTGATAATTAATTTATTTTTCAAACAATACTAATTATTCAAAAATAAGAAGCACATGAAGTTTTTCAAAAATTAATATCTTATAATTGTTTTTCTCTTTAACCTAATATATCAAACTAAACAATAATACAACATTATATAGTCAGATAAAGTGTTGATAAAACCTGAGTAATAGATATGGTAAAGTACTAAATTAGGTTCAAATTAATCTAGAAATTATGATTTTGATATATCCTCAGGCAAGTTTTAAAATATCCCCAAAATTGTTTATTCTTTAAGTGTCTATAATTGTGATAATAACAGTAATCAAGGATTTTAACTAACAACTATTAATTTAACGAAAACAAAACTTAGTTATTAATTATAATCTTTAGGATGTACTATTCATTAATTAGGATTTAATATTCTTGCAATTGATGATCCTAACATAGAGGTTCAATAAAAGGTGCTTTCTTCTAGCATAGCTACAACTATAACAGGAACACAAGATATCTTACAAATTGCTGCTTTTATTTATGGATTTTAAGGAACTAATGATAGTAATTTAAAATTATAATATGCACTAACTAAAATTGATAGCAGAAACTATAAAATATAATTTACAAATTCTAATATTCCAACTGTTTACTTAAACATTGTTATAATTTATTAAAATTCATCTACAGATATAGATTAGTTATACTAATCTTATATGAATTTTGATACTTAAGGTAAGAATATTGGTGGAGATAATACAGTATCATGGGAAACTTCTGCTTAAATAGACAATTCTCCAGTTTTTTTTGGCTTAAAAGATTTTAGTATATCATCTTATTATAGTTATTTTGGAATAAAAATTAAGAGTGGATAAGCTCCTGAAGCAAAAAATAAATAAGTAGTTTTAAATTATTTTGCATGGAATGGGTAACCAGTGAATATGATAAATGGTATTTGGATGGCTTTTACTCTTAAAACATGTTAAAGCGGATATACAATGTTTTTAAATTCAACCTACAATGCTTGTGTTCAATCTTGTAATTCTGTGGATCATCACTACAATACCAATCCTGCAAATACTAAACTTCTCTATTCAACTACTATAACTATATGTTAAAAATGTAATGATAATTGCTATGGCTGCAAAGAGGGCTTTCCAAATTTTTGCATTGACTGCCTAAGTAATATGTATTTGAATCCTTTCACAAACACTTGTGACTAATAAAAGCCTGCAAATACTTCTTGCTAAGCTTAAACAGTGAATAATTAAATATTCTAAAATTGCTAAAAATGTGACCCAACATGTAAAGAATGCAACTCTGCTAATAACCCCAAATCTTGCACATCTTGCGATATAAACTCTTCAAATAAATATTATTACTAAAATTAATGTTTATCTTCATAACCATCTTCAACATTTTGTGATAGCAATTTCATTTGCTAAAACTGCGATCCTTATTGTGATACTTGCTCTAATTCTAGTAATAACTGCTAAAGCTGTAAAGCTAATAGCTATTAATATTAAAATAATTGCTTAGCGAAGATCTGTTTATCAAATTAGTATTTGAATCCATTTACAAATAATTGTGATTAATCATAACCTCCTATTACTTCATGCTCTTAAATAACTTTGAATGGTTCTACATTTTATTATTGCTAGAAATGTGATCCAAGTTGTAAAGAATGCAGTGTACCTGGAAATTCAAACTCTTGCACATCATGCGACATTAATTCTACAAATAAATATTTTTATAATAATCAGTGCTAACCTTCATAACCTCCTTAGACATATTGTGATGGTAATTTTATTTGTCATTAATGCGATGTTAATTGTTCTACATGCTCTGGTTAAAGTAGTAATTGCTAAAGTTGTGTAACAGGTAAATACTACTATTAAGGTAAATGCTTGTCTTCTAAACCCCCTTTGGCTTATTGTATGAAGTACTGAACTTACTAAATTTTCTGCAAAAATATAGCTTTTAAATTAAAGATTTGAAAAGAATTAAAATATAAATTGTAGTATGAACAGAATGAAAATAAGAAAAACAAACCATAGCTGCAACATTATATTAGATTAATTTATATCTAAGAAGAAAATAATAGTATTAAAAATTTGATTAATAGTTATTTTAAAAAAAAATATCTATTATAATAAATTTTATTTTGTCAATAAATCTATTTTTATAAAAAAATTTTTTTATAAATTAAAATATTATGATAAAATAAAATAAATAATAAACATTTTATTCATTTTTTAAGAATTACATTAATTATATTTTATTGATATTTTTCATTTAGAAAATATCTAGAAGTAAAATAAAAATGAAAGAAAAGATAGATTAGCTATCTTTGGATTTAATTGAAAGTAAATCAAATTTTAAATTACTGTTTTTAAAAAAATTGAACATGAATAATAGATCATGGTGTCTTTTACATTTTAATTATTTATTAGTGAAGTGAATATATAAATATTTGATTAAATTAGAACCACAATATTTGTTGAATTTCGTTTAAAAAGAGAGAAGATTTTATAATTAATGAGTGGATAAGATTTTGATTATTTAAGTGATTTGGCTATAATATTATCTAGATACTAAAAATTCGTATTAAATACTTTGTATAATGATTAAATTGTATAGTTAGGTAAAAAATATATTTTCAATTTTGGAATTACCAAAAGAAATAAATGATAAAAAGAATAAATAAAACACATATTAAAACAAAAATTTAGAATAATTTTATGTGTGGATAATATGATTAATCAATATTCAAATTATATTTTACAAGTATCTTATTAAAAACTTATTACTTTTATTCAAAATGATAAGATATTAATCTGTAAATATAGAGCTTTATTCACTCAAACAAACAAAAGTAAGTTAGACTAGACCTAAATCGAAGGAAGAAAAAACAAATAAATTAATAAATAAATCAATCAATTTTTATTGTTATTAGGCGATTAATAATCTTGTCATCACCGTTTTTTGAAAACTTATTTCTAGTTACTATTCGCCATTTATTTTTATTTAAAATAATTTACTTTGATTAATTCAAATATTTTTGCAAATTCAAACTAATAAATTTTATTATTTATTTACAAATATTATTTCAAATTGTACTTTTCATTTTAATATAAAATAATAATGATCTATCTTTTATTGTATTTTAATTTGAATATGAATTGAAAGTCTATAATACAGATATTTAGATTTATAATCAAAAAATTAAATTACTAATTAAAACTCATTTACTTAATGAGAGTCTAATTAGTACCTATCTTTATTTTTCCTTTATCTATTTGTTAATAGAATTGCTTTTTAATTCAAGTGTAACTTGATTTCAACCTTTGAAATGCATGCAAGCATATAATAACCACAAATTCAGATAAAATGATCATGTTTTTTCATATAAACAATTTACTTCAAACAAACAAATTAAAAGGTTTTACTTCTTATAAACAAAATATTTAAATTTATATCAGTTATTTATACTAATTAATTGGTAAATAAATGTTTCATTAAATATTTTAAGAGTAAAAAAAATTTATTTTTTACTAATTGTTATAGGAGCAATAAATTTATTTGACTTTATTTTCCTGTAAAATAAGCTCAGTGTAATAATTATCCAAATTAATCAGAAATTATGAATTTCTTTTTTTCTTTGAAAGCGAATTTTAAATAAGTATTTTTTTCATTTTTAAATTTTGAAATAACTCAAAATATTTGATTCAAAGTATGGAAAATATTTTAGACTGTTTTTATTATTGATTTTATTGCTTATTTTTAAATTTCTCCTTTTATCCTAATTTTGATGGATGGATGAATCTAAAAACTTTTTAATAAAAGCTATTAATATTCTTTTTAAACTGGTTTGAGGTTCTATGAATAATATTAAAGATTAACTAATTTATTTGTGGAATTTATTAAGATTCATTTACTCTATTATTTATTTACATCAGTATTTTATTAATTATTAAGGAAATTTAGACGATTCTCCAAAAAAAAATAAATATTAGATATTCCATTTAACTAATTTAAGCAACTATAATTTTATCACTGTAAATCATATAATTAAATTATTTTTAAAATATTCTTAATCTCAAAAAATGAAGATTTAAAAAAATAAAATCTTATCAATATATCTTTTCATAAATCTAATTTATTAAACTAACTAATAATAAAATATCATTTAATCTGATAAGGTATTTATAAAATTTGAATAATAAGTATGGGAGAGTTCTTCAATAGGATCAGGTCAATCTAAAAATTTTGATTTTGACTTTTCTACTGCCAAATTTAAGAATAACCCTAGAATTGTTTATGCTTTGACTATATATAATTCCGATCATAGTAGCTAATAAGGTTTTAAGCTATAAACTAATTCTATTACATAAACAAAATTAAATTATGAATTAAAATCTTTAGGATGCGAATTATTTTAATTACATTTTAACATTCTTGCATTTGATGATCCAAATATTGATGTATAATAAAAAGAACTATCTTCGGGAGAAAATATAACTATTACTGGAACATAAGATATTGAATAAATTGCTGCTTTTATTTATGGCTTTAAAGGAAGTAGTGGTAATAATTTGAAATTAAAGTATACTTTAACAAAAGTTGATAGCAAAAACTATAAAATTTCTTTTAATAATTTAAATATTTAAAAGGTTAATCTAAATTTTGTTATTATTTACAAAAACTTATCTTAAGAAGGTATTTTCTAATAATTATATTCTTACGATATGAACTTTGATACTTAAGGCAAGATTCTTGGCGGAGATAATTAAATTCCATGGTAAACACCTACATTTATCAACTCTTCTCCAATTTTTTTTGGGTTGAAAGATTTTGATATTTCTTCTGGATGTAAAGGAATAATGTGTTCTGACGCATTTGGCATAAAAATTTAGTCAGGATAAACTCCTGAGGCACAAAATAAAACAGTAAAATTAAATTATTTTACTTGGGATGGCTATAAAGTGAATTTAATAAATGGTGTATGGATGGGTTTTGCTCTGACTACATGCTAAGCAAGATATACGATGTTTTTAAACTCTACTTATAATAGCTGTGTTTAATCTTGTAATAGTGTGGATCATCACTACAATACTAATCCTTTAAATATTATAACTTTGTATTCAGCAACTCTAGTTATATGCTAATAATGCGATGAAAATTGTTATGGATGTATTGATGGTTCTCCAAAACATTGTACAGACTGCTACAATAATTAATATTTGAACCCTAACACAAATACTTGTGAGAAAGCATAACCTAGTAGTACATACTGCTCAACTTAATCTGTTAGTGGATAAACATATTTAAATTGCTAAAAATGTGATCCAACATGCAAAGAATGCAGTGCTCCAAATAACTCAAAATCTTGCACTTCATGTAATTCAAACTCATCAAATAAATATTTTTATTAAAATTAATGTTTGGTTTGGCAGCCTCCTTCAACATATTGTGATAGTAATTTGAATTGTTATGATTGTGATTCTAACTGTGAATCTTGCTTAAATTTTAGTTACAACTGTTAAAGCTGTAAATCAAGTAGTTTTTAGTATCAAAATACATGCTTGGCATAAATTTGTACATAATAAAATTAGTATTATAATCCTTTTACTAATTCTTGTTAAGCAACTTAACCTTCAAAAACTTTTTGTTCTGAAATAAATTTGTAAGGTTAAACATTTTTTTATTGCTAGAAATGTGATCTCACTTGCGAAAAATGTAGTGCACCTAATAGTGCTAGCTAATGCACTTCTTGTGATATAACTTCTGGAAATAAATACTTTTATAATAATCAATGCTTAGAGTAATAACCTGAATCAACTTACTGCGATGATAATTTGATATGTTAAAAATGTGATTTAAATTGCTCTTCGTGTTCTATGTCTAGTAGTAATTGCCACAGTTGTATAACAAACAAATATTTATATGTTAACTAATGCTTAGATGTAGTATGTGACAATAATTAATATTTAAATAGCATAACAAAGTCATGTAGCTAAACTAAGCCTTCTGGTACATATTGTATTCCTGTTACTTAAAATGGAAATAATTTTGAATTTTGCTAAAAATGTGACCCTAATTGTTTGGAATGTAATCCGCCTGGCGATTAAAAATCATGTATTTCTTGTGACATAAGAAATTAAAATAAATACTATTATAAAAACTAATGCATAAATTCTTAGCCGGCTTCAACTTTTTGTGATGAAAAATTTTAATGTTTTGATTGCGATTAAAACTGTGTTTCTTGTTCTAATAATAGTAAAAACTGTTAAAGCTGTAAAAGCAATATCTACTTCTACGAGAATAAATGTTTAGAAAGCCCTCTATCTGGAACATATTGCACAGGCTATAGTAATTGCAGTAAATGTGATGCATAATGTAAGACTTGTGAGTAGACTTCTAATAATTGCACAAGTTGTCAAGATTAGTATTATTTATATAAAAATTCTTGCTAATCTCAAAAACCTTAAGGGGTTTTTTGTGAATTAAATTAAAATTACTATGTTTGTTCAGCTTGTGCTAATCTTAATTGCTAAGAATGCTTAAAAGCTGAGCCTTCTAAATGTATTTCTTGCCCATAAAATTATTACTTTTATAAAGGTAATTTTAGATTATTAAAGATGAATATTGAAAAAAACTTTAAAAAAAAATTTTCTTTCTATTATTTTTTAAGTAAGGTGAAATAAAATAATTTAAATAAAAAAATGATTTCACCTGATTCATAATTTTGATAAAAAAATTATTATACAGAATTTAAAATTTTTTTGAAAGAATAGAAGTACATAAAAACATATTTAAATATTTCTATTTTTAAAATTATTATCTCAATAAATATTGTAATTAAAATAAGTAAATTTTACCAAGCAAAAAATAAATTTTATCTTATTTTCATTATTATTTAAATGAAAAAATTTTTTATTTCATTTAATTTATTTTTAAACATTGAAATAGTGATATAACCTTTTAATTTTTGTTAAGTATTTTGAAAATAAAATACAAATATTTTACTAAAATTTTTTTAAATTATTCATTTTTGAAGAAATTTTATATAATTTTTTTAATTTTGCTGTTTTTAATAACCTTTCATTTCCCATTATAAATTTTTATAAATAATAAATTAGATGATTGTTTTCAAAAGTAAATTGACTCAAAATATTGTGAAGATAATAAATGTTATGATTGTGATCCTTCATGCAGTTCATGCAATGAACCATCTAATAATAACTGTACTTATTGCAAGTCTCTTTTAAATAGAAGCATAGTCGGTAATATATGCGCATGCAATGAAGGATATTATGAAGATAGTTCAAAGATTTGCTAAAAATGTTTTCCATCATGCCTAACATGCAATGGACCGTTAAGCACACAATGTTTAAGCTGTAAAAATTACATATACTAAAACACTTGCTATGACACTCCTCCTCCTGGTACTTATTGTGATTCTACAACAAAATAATAAAAATGCATTGCATGTATCCAGCCGAATTGCTCTTAATGTAATAAAAATGGTTGTATCAATTGCTAAAGTGGATTTAGAATTAATGATTTCGGAGAATGTGTTTATTGTGATAATAAAATGTATGCCAATTAAGCAGGTATTTGTAACATACCATGCAAGGAAGGTTGTAAAATATGCACATCCTAGGATAACTGTATTAAGTTAGATGATACCTATAAAAATTGTGATGTAAGTTGCCAAACTTGTACAGGTCCAAGTGCATCATAATGTGCTTCTTGCTCCTCTAATACTAGATTATTCGATACAACAAATAAAACTTGTATGTGTATTACTAACTTTGAAGAGACTGGATAGACTGACTGTTAGTATATTTACTAGGTCCCAAAATCTATTGTGAATGCATAATCAACAATTGGCGTAGCTCAATTTTCAATTTTGGCTATAACAACACTGACAAATTCTATTCCTGGAATTTCTTACTCTCTTGGTTTGATGTAATTATTAGGAAACTTCTATATAAGGCAAGATTAAACCTATTAATCTTAGACATCAGTATTAAGCTCATATACAAAATATAACTTAAATTCACTTTTTTAGTAGAAAATATTATATCCATCTCATAATACCAATCAAAAAGTTCATAGAGTTTTAGAATAAAATTCAAGTGAAACAATATATCCTATAAATGATTAAGAAAAGGTATTAATGTTAACAGATAACATTTTTTTTGCATCTAATAGCATTATCACAATTAGTTTTATTTTAATAATTTATCTGGTTGCTTAAGCATTACACTAATACCAAATAAGAACAAAAGAACGTTTTAAGTACATGAATATTATAAGATGGAATTTAGTACTGTTTTTAATTCAACTTAGTTCAAATTTTATGCTAATAACTTTGTTTTAGTGTTAAATTGCAGAACAAAGAATTATTGATTGGGTTTTTATTGGAATATTTGTAATATTATATAGCTTCTTCATAGGATACTCCTTTGTAAGAGTATATAAAAATGACTATAAGGACACTGCTGTTTCTATTTTGAACAGTGGTTTGAATTAATATAATAAATTTTCAAGGTTTTATTTTATTATATTTGAATTGAGAAAGGTGCTTTACTGTGTAATTATTGCAGGGAGCAAGTCATACCTCAATAAAGCAATATGGTCTATTTGCGCTTCATAAATTTTATTTATTTCCATAACATACAAAAAATAAATTTTGATTAACAAGCTTAGTAATAATGTACTTATATCATCAGAGTTTGCTTTTTTATCTATAGTTACTATTTTAGGAGTTATGATTAACATTAGTAATTTAAATATTCAAAAATCCTTAGCCACAGCAATAGTGGTTTTAATGATAATTAATTCTGCAATGATTTTATTTGTCTTAACTTATATTTTAATATAATTTGTGAGAAGAAAATGTGGTAAAAGAGAAGAATTGATCTAAAGTATTGAGCTTAGTAAAATTTCAGCTAAAATATAACTGTTAAACTAAAGTTTTGAAAAAAACAAAAAAATAAAATGGAGTATGAACCCATTAAATAAAAAAAGAACAACTTAGAGCAGGAGTATTAGCAGTATTTTAGATAAATCTTTATCTCATAAGAAAATAAAAGTATAATAAATTTGAATGATAGTTATTTAATATATACAGCTTCGGCTAGGTTTTAATTAACAAACATACCCCATAAGTCATAATTAAAAAAACAAACACCATCAATGGAATATTATGAAAAAAATAAAATAAATAATAAGCATCCTATTAATTTTTGAAGAATTACATTAATTATATTATTGATATTTTTCATTTAGAAAATATCTGGAAGTAAAATAAAAATGAAAGAAAAGATAGATTAGCTATTTTTAATTTTAATAACTATTTTTGGATTTAATAGAAAGTAAATCAAATTTTAAATTACTGATTTTAAAAAAAATTGAACATGAATAATAAACAGATCATGGTGTCTTTTACATATTAATTATTTATTAGTGAAGTGAATATATAAATATTTGATTAAATTAGTACTACAATATTTGTTGAATATTGTTTAAAAAGAGAGAAGATTTTATAATTAATGAGTGGATAAGATTTTGATTATTTAAGTGGTTTGGCTTTACTATTAGCTAGATACTAAAAATTCGTATTAAATATTTTGTTTAATAATTAAATTGTATAGTTATGTAAAAAATAAATTTTGAATTTTGGAATTACCAAAAGAAATAAATGATAAAAAGAATAAATAAAACACATATTAAAACAAAAATTTAGAATAATTTTATTTGTGGATAATATTTTTAATAAATATTAAAATTATATTTTACAAGTATTTTATTAAAAACTTATTACTTTTATTCAAAATGATAAGATATTAATCTGTAAATATACAGCTTTATTCACTCAAATAAACAAACAAACAAAAGTAAGTTAGACTAGAACTAAATCGAAGGAAGAAAAAACAAATAAATTAATAAATCAATCAAACAATTTTTATTATTATTAGGCGATTAATAATCTTGTAATCGCCGTCTGTTGAAAACTTATTTCTAGTTACTATTCGCCATTTATTTTTATTTAAAATAATTTACTTTGATTAATTAAAATATTTTTGCATATTCAAACTAATAAATTTTATTATTTATTTACAAATATTATTTCAAATTGTACTTTTCATTTTAATATAAAATAATAATGATCTAATAATTAATAAGATTAATATCTATCTTTGATTGTATTTTAATTTGAATATTAATTGAGAGTCTATAGTACAGATATTCATATTTATAATAAAAAAATTAAATTATTAATTAAAATTCATTTATTTAATGAGAATCTAATTAGTACCTATCTTTATTTTTTTCCTTGATCTATTTATTAATAGAATTGCTTTTTAATTCAAGTGTAACTTAATTTCAACCTTTGAAATGCATGTAAGTATATAATAACTATAAATTCAGATAAAATAATCATGTTTTTTCATAAAAAAATAAATAATTTAATTCAAAAAAGCAAATTAAAAGGTTTTACTTATTAAAAACAAAATATTTAAATTTATATCAGTTATTTAAACTAATTAATTGCTTTAAAAGTAAAGAAAAATTATTTTTTACTAACTTGTTATTAGAGCAATAAATTTATTTGACTTTATTTTCCTGTAAAATAAGCTCAGTGTAATAATTATCCAAATTAATCAGAAATTATGAATTCCTTTTTTTCTTTGAAAGCGAATTTTAAATAAGTATTTTTTTCATTTTTAAATTTTGAAATAACTCAAAATATTTGATTCAAATATGGAAAATATTTTAGACTGTTTTTGTTATTGATTTTATTGCTTATTTTTAAATTTCTCCTTTTATCCTAATTTTGATGGATGGATGAATCTAAAAACTTTTTAATTAAAGCTATTATTTTCTTTTTAAACTGGTTTGAGATTCTATGAATAATATTAAAGATCAACTAATTTGTGGAATTTATTAAAATTCATTTACTCTATTATTTATTTACGTCAGTATTTTATTAATTATTAAGAAAATTTAGACAATTCTCCAAAAAAAATTAATATTAGATATTCCTCCATTTAACTAATTTAAACAACTATAATTTTATCATTGTAAATCATATAATTAAATTATTTTTAAAATATTCTTAATCTCAAAAAATGAAGATTTAAAGAAATAAAATCCTATCAATATATCTTTTCATAAATCTAATTTATTAAACTAACTAATAATAAAATATCATTTAATCTGATAAGGTATTTATAAAATTTGAATAATAAGTATAGTAAAGTTCTTCAATAGGATCAGGTCAATCTAAAAATTTTGATTTTGACTTATCTACTGCCAAATTTAAGAATAATCCCAGAATTGTTTATGCTTTGACAGATTATTAATCCACTAGTAATATATAACTAGGTTTTAAGCTATAAACTAATTCTATTACATAAACAAAATTAAATTATGAATTAAAATCTTTAGGATGCAAATTATATTAATTACATTTTAACATTCTTGCAGTTGATGATCCAAATATTGATATATAATACAAAGAATTATCTTCGGGAGAAAGTACAACTATTACTGGAACATAAGATATTGAATAAATTGCTGCTTTTATTTATGGCTTTTAAGGAAGTAGTAGTAATAATTTGAAATTAAAGTATACTTTAACAAAAGTTGATAGCAAAAACTATTAAATTTCATTTGACAATTCAAATATTTAAACTGTTTATCTAAATTTTGTTATTATTTACAAAAATTTATCTGAAGGTAATTTCTAATAATTATATTCTTACGATATGAACTTTGATACTTAAGACAAGAATCTTGGTCGAGATAATGAAATTCCATGGTAAACACCAACATTTATCGACTCTTCTCCAATTTTTTTTGGGTTGAAAGATTTTGATATTTATTATTAATTTAAAACGATATCTCCTAACATATTTGGCGTAAAAATTTTGTAAGGATAAACTCCTGAGGCACAAAATAAAATAGTAAAATTAAATTATTTTACTGGGAATAACTATAATGTGAACTAAATAAATGGTGTATGGATGGGTTTTGCTCTGACTACATGCTAAACAGGATATACAATGTTTTTAAACTCTACTTATAATAGCTGTGTTTAATCTTGTAATAGTGTGGATCATCACTACAACTCTAATCCTTTAAATATTATAACTTTGTACTCAGCAACTCTAGTTTTATGCTAATAATGCGATGAAAATTGTTATGGTTGTATTGATGGTTCTCCAAAACATTGTACAGACTGCTACAATAATTAATATTTGAACCCTTATACAAATACTTGTGAGAAAGCATAACCTAGTAGCACATACTGCTCAACTTAATCTGTTAGTGGCTAAACATATTTAAATTGCTAAAAATGTGATCCAACATGCAAAGAATGCAGTGCTCCAAATAACTCAAAATCTTGCACTTCATGTAATTCAAACTCATAAAATAAATATTTTTATTAAAATCAATGTTTGGTTTAGCAACCTCCTTCAACATATTGTGATAGTAATTTGAATTGTTATGATTGTGATTCTAACTGTGAATCTTGCTTAAATTTTAGTTACAACTGTTAAAGCTGTAAATCAAGTAGTTTTTAGTATCAAAATATGTGCTTGGCATAAATTTGTACATAATAAAATTAGTATTATAATCCTTTTACTAATTCTTGTTAAGCAACTTAACCTTCAAGAACTTTTTGTTCTGAAATAAATTTGTAAGGTTAAACATTTTTTAATTGCTAGAAATGTGATCTCACTTGCGAAAAATGTAGTGCGCCTAATAGTGCTAGCTAATGCACTTCTTGTGATATAACTTCTGGAAATAAATACTTTT